GCGGGACACGGGCCGCGCGCCGCCTCCCCGCTGCTGTCCGCAGAGCACACGCAGACACGTCCCACGGGCTCCTCTTTATTGCGGCCTTGCGACAGCGCGTAGAGAAGTCGTGCTTTTTCTTCCTGTGTTAGACCCAAGGGTTTTTCATCTAGCCTTCCCTTTGTTTCTCACGTGTTCCAGGCAGAGTCTCCTCTACTTAGCTTTGTTTCTTTCTTAAATTGGGGCCTCGTACATGACAGTAGTCTTTTACCACTGCCTTACCGTCAACAGTGTCTTCATACTTTGGTCGCTCTGCAGCAGGCATGGAAAGGAGAGGGTTAATGCCAGCTGCGCTTCCCTATTCAGGGTTATCATTGCTGACCTAATCTTAGGGTGGGAGGTAGAAGAATTTTTTCAGAAATATGCCTCTTCAGCGAAGGCCCAAATGTAAAAGAAGAAATAAAAAATTGCTTTGGAAATAAACTGTAAAGTCTACAGGACAAAGACTAAAAATCAACTAAAAAACAACTCGCTTTTGCTTGCTTTCAAGGAGACCTTTGGAAAAGAGCCTGCTCTCGGGTGTGAATGAGGGAGAACTCCCACATACATATTTTCTTTGTTTCTCCTCTTGCACAAAGAAAATTGTGGTCTACGCACCCAGCAAGCTATTGGTCTGCTTGGTTTTTCATATCAAGGGATTCTTTTGCCAACTTAATTCCTTCATGTTAAATAAGAAGAGGTAATTTTCAGACATTAAATTTAGATTAAATCATAATTTGGCAGTAAAGCTGGCTTCATCACTTAAAAAATATGTCTTCACTCAAGTGAAAACAATTAGAATATAAAATTATTTTTTACAGTGTTACCAAATATACTGTAATGGGAAATAGTGACCATATAATGAGATGTTTAGTTTCTCAAACTCAAAAGAATGATACGAAATGAAGAAAACCTAATCTTTTAAGAGACCGTTCCCTAAAATTGAGTCATAAAACTTTGCCTTCCTTTGTCAGCAGTGATACAAAACAAGAACATCCTTCCGGATACTAAAGTATTTAACAGGATTTCATAGGAGAGAGAACTGCACTAGAAGACATTCAGTTAGAATTAGGAATGCTTAATGATTCACTGCACCCAAACTGCCAAGAATAGGTCAAAACTGTTCAAAATACTTGGTAAATTCGCAGAACTTTCTTGAGTATGTCGTTTCCCACAGAAGCTGAGTTGAACACAATCACCCATGTAAACAGGTCAGCCATGTTTCTCTACCATTTTTACTAATATCAAAAGACAAAGTGATGTTTCTGTTTCCAGGCTGAAGTTAGCTGCTGTTTTCTCAGGCATGAAGATGAGCTCAGTGGGGTCAGCTGGAACTGTCTTGGATTCGTTTCAAAAAGCCAGTGTGAAGGAGGATGAAGTATTCCTTCCAAGCAGATGAGAACTGCAACTCACCTCTAGCCAGAGCACTAATGCATTGGCTTTGGCTATTCATTTCCTAACTGTAGAATTGGCAGCCTCTCTGCCCAGAGAAGTCTGTGCAGTCTCCCTCCTTGGAGGTTTTCAAGACCCGATAGAATAAAGCCCTGAGTAACTTGATCTGATCTCATAGCTGACCCTGTCTGAAGCAGGTCTCTAGCAGGACTAGAGACCTCCTTAGGTCCCTTCCAACCTCAGTTATTCTATGATTCTATTATTTCATCCATTTTACATCTGCTGTTTTATCAGTCTTTGGCTTTCTTCAGCTATTGAATTGATGCATGAATAGAGAAATGAATGGCGAGAAAAAAAATCGCAAGCTTATCCACTTTGTATGACTGAGACATATAACCCAGCGAGAACGAGGTAAAAATCTGTTCATGAGATGAAAATAACTCTTCAAGGAAAACTGATAGAAAGGGGGAGAAATTATGAATCTTTAGAAATATACATCAAGGGCCTATCTGCATCTGCAAAACATCCTGGAACAGCAAAATAACTAATGAAATACATTTATAACACTACAGTCTCCAGTGTCCTGCATAATAAGGGCCGAGATGGCTTCTGGGCATAGTCTCCACTGGCTGCAAGCTTATATATCGTACAGTCTAAGCTGTTCCTTCATGTCTCCTTCAGACATCTCTCCAAATGTGTCACTTTTTTCCTTCATGAGCCTGAAGATGGCAGCCAGCTGCTCTCTCTGAACCCTGTCAAGAAGAAAAGGACAAGTAGGAATAGCCGGTCCCCAGAAGGCACTTTGAGCAAGAACACCAGGGTCAAATGAAGCACGAAGCCAAGGAGGATCATTTTTCAAGCCCTAGCCCTGTTGACTGCAGGAAATCTGCCCATGTGAGGTGAGAAAGAGATAGCCTCCTGTTCTTCCACCCCCTCCTATCTATCCAATCATCCTGCACTTTTCTCTACAATTCTTTAAATATGGAGATAAAACTGACTGCTTTAACACCAACTTTGCAGTTTCTTAGGGCTTATCTGTGCTCAGAGTTACAGGATAACTCCACACGTGGAATTTTGTAAGACCATTATGTCCCAATTTAGCAGACTCTATCGCAAAACTAGATTAAGGTTGATCAGCACAGTGTACTTTCATTCTGGAATGAAATTGCGTAGATACAGAGTAATTCAGGAATAGCTATTAAATTTTAAATGTATACCCTACCTGAAAACTAGAGACTAGACTTCCTTCCAGTGTAGACATGCCTTTAAATCAGCCACTGGAAGATAAGATCATAGAGAGAAAACTGCTTTGATTCAAGGTTTCGTCTGCCAACGTCAAATGCTGAGATGTGCTTGTGTAGCCAGTCAAGCAATGGGATGATCAATGTGTGGGCATACGCTAACTGGTGGACCGTCTAACTCAGATTTCTAGCGCTAGAAAGGCCCTTACTAGGTGATTAACTTTTCCTTTCTCGCCGTAATAGATCTTATGCACAGCCAATACATTTTTCCCAGACCTGAAGCAGTTAATCATTGTGGTGTGTCCTGCAGCACAAGGTATCTATCTGTCACAGGGCTTTACTGGAGAGCTTCTATCATCCATATGTCAACTGATCATCACTCGGGGATACAGAAAAAGAAAGGTGGGCAGTATAGGAATGTCATTCATTCTGAAGTGTCCTTAGCTCATGAAATGATGCAGCTTTCTACAAAATCCTATTCTGGGGCAAAATGAAGATGCACTTTGGTTTCAGCCAGGGCTGACTATGGATTGGAAATTGAGACTCTGGCTTTTGCTTCTGCATAGTCATCCTGTCAAGCATCCTCTCTCCCCAGCGCAGCCAGCTCCCTACACAGGGCTTTAATACACTATAATTAATCCATTTAAAAGCATGCCATAACTTAACTTGGAGTAATTTTCCTGAGTCCTGTGTGGACAAGCTACTTTCCAGTAACAGGAGCAGTAGAAATACCTATAGGCAGGCAAAACCAGGACACAATCTTTGTTTGAAAGAAGAGAGCACAGCACCAATACAGTGTAAACAATGACCCCAAGAACAAGATCGGGGAAGGAGACGGACAGGAACGAGCAGAGGAGCCTTCATGGGCTGAGCTCCAGACAAGCGGGGCTCAGCCCTAGCAGGAGCAGCAACAAGCTGTCTTTTCAGCCCCATCGCAGTAAGCCAGGGGTTAAGGGGGAAAGAAAGCAGATTCTGATAGAAGCAAGCTGATTTGCCAATTATTTTCTATTACAATTAAAATGCAATTGTCCTTAGGCCAAGCATATCCTGTTAATGATTTTGGTTCTTTTGGTTATGAAAGCTCTGGCCACAGGCTGTCAACTACCTGGCTTTGTCTGTTCCATACTTTTTATGTTCACACGGAACACATCAGACTGCCCTTTCCAGACCAGAGGAAGTGAAGCACAGTCATTATCGATCGATGTTTTATTTTAAACCACCACTGGGCACCAGAGGGCACATTTCCTGTCTGGTATGGAGAAATTCAATACATATCTTTGCTTTGCACATCTGAAATCTGTGCCAGCTGGGAATGCTTCACACGGGCCTGCATCACTCCCTCCTGATTTCACAGACATTAACACTACAAACATCTTCAGTTGCCCAAAGGCCTACTTCTTTCACTCTCCACCTCCAAAATCAAGATCACAGACAGTATTCACTCTGATTTCTCTTTAAACCAACATCAATGCATTTTGGCTGTCCCTTGACAGAGATGATGTTAAATATCATGATTGTGTGTTTAAAAACAGAAATAGAAAAGAGCTGCTACTGCTGTTAACTATTTCTCTGTGCTACACAATCTACAACAGAGAGAGAGGAAAACAAAGATAAACGGAGAAAAGAGCCTGGGAAGGAAGAGTAAGATATCAAAAACATGATACTGATTTCAAAAATGAGCTTCTGCTATCACAGGTGACCTTGTAAAACAACTTTGTGGTGCTCCGGGTTGTATTTTCTTGATGGTTTCAGATCAAACCTACCCCATTCACAAGTAAAATCATTCTCCCTTCCCGTAAGTGCTGTCTCCAAAACAACTTGGATTCAGGAGGTCAGATAGGATTTTACTTATTGCTGACAAAATAGATTAATTAAGGATTTTCAAAGCAGCCTAATTCTTGTTGATAGACAATTGCACTTGCCTACTTAACTCCCTTAGGCTCCTTTAGACATTTCAGCCCAAGACTTCTGCAATTAACTGGAGGTTTTGGGCAGTTAGTCATAGGTATATTAAAGAAGATCTGCCTTTCAGGAACTGCTGAGCATCCATGTTCTCAGCAGCTGAAATCCTGGGCAGAGGCTCTGCTTTTGGGAATTTTGCTAACTTCTCCCCTGTCAAACAAGACCAGAAGCCTGCTACAACAGTGCATCGCTCCAGCAGAGTTAAGGGAAAAACAATCCAAAACATAAAATCTGGCTTTCACTTGGAAGTCAGTGCAACCACTTATAGGGTAAAAGGCATATGAGGGCAAAATGTACCTCTAACCTAAACTCCAGACTTTCAACTCAAAGCTCTTGAGGAAGACGTTTCAAGCTGCTGGAGGCAGGGAGAACAAGCACAAACCAAATAAACTATTCAAAGGTTTATTGGACCAAACAAAGGCAATTTTTACAGATTCAAGCCACTAGAATTACAGTCCTTTGTATAAGAGCCACCATCAGATACAAAACAAACAAACAAAACAAACAAAAGTAAAAAATACCCAGACAGCCATTTGAGTTGAAGAAATAGTTTGACTTGCTGCCACTAGCAAAAATCTGGACTCAGCTATAGACTTTGCTCGATGTACATATTGCCATGTAACTTAAACACAATGTATATAAGGCATTCTTTGCATAGTTGGGTGCTTGGGACAGAGTCAGCCAGCCAGCGCCAAGGGGAGACTGAGCGGCTGTACTGGTGGGGAAGTTGAAGTAGAGAGTCCTGATGTGTTTAAATTCATATGCAAACAACTAAATATGCTAGCGGTTGTTGGCTGGGAAGGGGTAGCCCAGCCTCTTCTAAAGCTGAAGCCTCCTGCTGTTCTTTAAATGAGCCCTTTTATTAAGAGTTTGCCAACCCCAGGTGCTGAAAAGGACGAGTACAAGGTTTCAAGTATTGCCTGCATAGGAATTAAAAAGGAAAAAAAAAGTAGCCTGTTGGGTTTCTGATATGTTTGAAGCTTTAGCCAAAAGGCAGTTGTCCTGCAAGGAGAAAAAAAAGCTCTGAAGGACACATCCCCATGCAGCCCTGGTGTTTCTACAACGTCACTGGAGGACTCGAGCCCCCTTGCGATGGGGATACATCTTGCAAACCAGCTGGTCTGATTTGAAACCTCTCTCTGAAGCAGGTATATGCACCCAGCCAAATTTATCTCCTAAATATGACAGAGCTGAGGAGACATGCTGAGCTCTGGCTTCAGTGGACAAACCACGGGGCTAGCAAAAGAAGAGGGCACTGGAACAGCAAGTGGCAGAGGAAGGGGTAGGGTTTCTTTTCCAGGACCCCCATAATCTCATCCTGAGACAGAGGGAACCTATGATACTGTTGCTACCTCCTCAGGTCTCTCCCATTGGGAACCAGAGTAGGGAAAAGTATGAATCCAGATATGAACAGTGGCCAAAGTGTGGTCTCCTAAACCTCCACCACAAGCAGAATAGTTAAGCTATCAATCCTCGTCACTTCTCAAGTCTTCCCTCTACCTAACGGATCAGCTTTCCGCTAATATAACTACAGAAGCAAGATTAGAGTCATTCCAGCTACCATCTGCCACCCCTCACTTTGATCCCACTTTGTCCCTCCACCCCTCAGAATACAACGGTGCTATACAATGTTTGAAATCATACGCAGTTCCCACCCATCCCCAACAATAAAGAGGAATTTGGCCCTGGGAAGTAATGGCTTGATGGTCTTGTATAAGATCCAGGCAAGTCTGGGAGAACAGCTACAATTCACCCACCCCACTAAAGAAATACAGATTTCACAGCAGGGCTACACACGGTGATGAATACAACTGACAGACTTGCTGCACGTTTGGTGTCCGGTTTGGGTTCTGTTTGGGGGAGGGGGGGAAGGTTTGTCTGCTAGGACATCCCAGAGGGGGCCCCCCCCCCCAAACACAACTCAAGTCATTGCTTGGGCCCAGCCCCAGTTCATGGAGGCACACAACAGGATCTCCTCAAACTTGATACCACAGGAGTTTTGAAGAACTCAACTTCAGACCAAGAGGGGGTCCCAAGTTTTGAGGGTTTATGGATTTCTCTTATGGGTGTGTTTGGTTGGTTTTGGTATTTCTCTCAAGCCTTTAAAGATGCCAAGGGATGCTTTTAGGAGGAGGCTAGGGACAACTTCATATAGTCTTCAGTTCTGCAAAGAGAAACAGGGAGAGAAGAAGAGAAATCATTTCAGTCATTTCACCCCTCAGTTTTGGTTCATTATTATTCACATAAATGAGCAGGGGAAAACTCATTGTGGGAGGGGAAGGCAACAACTTCCCTCATTAGGGCAGAACAAGCCACTGTTTGCAAACCTCATGCCTCTAAGGAGACACTGCTTCATCAACTGCAGCAAGAGAGTCTAAACCCAAACACAAATAGTGTAAATCCTCTCACCTGGCACCAAACGTAAGTCACAACCCTCCTGCCCCACCAAGGAGAGCTGGGGAAGCCCAGCTAATTGGCAACCTTCATTAGCTCCAGAGGTTACTGCCTAACTGTTCCGTGCAGAGCTTTCTTGGGCTACCAGCCTACTTGTGCAGCCCAGTTTCCTCCTCCCACCTGCAGGCAGACAAGCCAGGACCAAGTACTGAGTTCATTGGGCAGTGAAGCTGAACAGGTTGACCTTTCTAAACCTTCCTACAGGTCTGTTCCATTCTAGGGTTTTTGCCTTCTTCTCTGTCCTCAGGGCTTCCTTTCAATGGGAAGCTCTCCCAATGTCCCAGGGAAGGAGGGTAAGATGATTAGACCGGTCTTATGGATGGGCACATCTAGGCACTCCCTGAGGTCTCACAGCATATCGTTAGCGGAGCCAGGGCTAAGAAATTTGGCCACCTGTTCTCAGCTTGAACACTTCAGATGCTCTGCCCTGACCGCTCCAGCATCTCTCATGGCCACCCAAAAACCTACCAGCAGGTAGGGCAGCTTCCCATGGACACAGAGGCCTGCATTAATTCAGAGGGAAGCCACAATACACATCACCCGAACGCTTACAAACATGTGCAGATGCATCCAAAAAGCATAATTCCCCATGATTGCAACAGAATTCGTAGTCCCTAATACCTGACCTCCATTTGAAAGACACCTGCTCCTGATTTGAGTCAAAGCAGATCCCTGTACCATCAGCACAGACATTGGGCTCCTCTGTCCCTGGTGGGTTTGGGAACCTGCAATGGCTAGAGCATGAAGGCATGTTACAGCCCCATTCCTTGGTTAGCACTCTGCAAAAGGTTCCCCTTTCCAGGGGCCTTGCAAGTACGCTCTGCAACCCGGATCCCGGATGAGAGATGCAGGCTGAAGCATCATGTGGGATGGGGTTACTCAAGCAACGCTGCGGCGGCTCAGTGGCTGGCCAGTTAGGACAAAGAAAAGAAATTCTCTGGAGTGGATAATCGCTCTGTGGGATTCACAGTGCCAAGGATCAGATCATCCTGCTCAAGCCACACAGGCATAATCAGATTTCACGCGCGAGGGCATAAGCTCATTGCTGCGAGGGCCCAGAAGGAGAGCTCCCCTCCATCGGGCCACCATTGGAGCAGGGAGGGATGGAGGAGGTCAGGGAGGGCGAACAGGGCTCAGTTGTAGCTTGCAGCCGCTCCATAGGGATACTCACCTCCAGGACAGGGCCAGGCAGACAGCTGAGGTGAAACATATTAAACCAAGCATGAACTTAATGGAAGATGTCTGTCAGATAAATAAATTCCCCATCTGCACAGCAGGGCCACTCCTCTTCTGCTCCTGAAGTGAGCTATGAGAGGGATTAGACTAAAGACCACGAGGCAGTCAATCACTAGGGGCTTCAGGGCCATATAAACACCCCAACACTGAGAGACTCTGGCATTGGCAAGGACACATGCTACCATGAAGCCTGAAAGAGCTAATCATCTCAGGACAGAGGCAGAGAGCTGCAAACTGCTACCTATCCTTAGCTCTTTCCTCCTTTCCTTTGCCTTGGACTATGGATCAGCCTGATCGGAGTGCTTTCCGCCTATGGAAGATGAATCAAATCCGTTTAGGATCTTCTTTTGCTGGAGGCCTACCTCCTCTCTTCGGATATAGATTATCCGAATATCTCTGCTCCGTGTCCAGCTGAGGCCCAAGTCTGTAGCTCTCACAGGACGACATCCAGCTGACAAAACATACAAGGAACGACCAAAGAACAAGAACACCAAGGACCTGCCCTTCCCTGAAGTTATGAGGGACACTCAGGTACTGAAGGTCTTGAAAGACCATGCTTCATCCTGAGCTATGAGGGATCTGGAGACAACATCTCTGTTGGAGGAGTGAGAGGAGGTGGGGGGCCATACAAGAGCCTTCAGGCCTTTTCCACCAGGACACCTCAGAGCATCCCTGAGACACCATGTCTAGATCCCTGGATGTCATCCATCAACTGGCAGCTGAAGGCTGAGCTCTGCGGCAGCCTCCTTCCTGTGGATAGGGCAACATGGTGGGACCACCAGTCCAAGAAGCATGAGGTAACGAGTCTCTGTTGCTGGAGTTACTGGAAGGGACTTCTTGCAAGAAAAGGAGTTCAGATTGCAGTTCCTCCTTCCTCTCTTTGACAGCAGTATCTCCAGTGTGGATGGAAATGGGGTGTCTCTCCAGTGACCTTAGAAGCGTCTTCCTCACACTGACTCCCCCATGGCATTGGCAGAAGGGCAGGAGCTTCTTGTCTTTGAGAGGACAAACGGTGTCCTAGCCCTGACAAATGGGGCAGGCAGGTAGCATTCCCGTGTGTGCTTGTCCCTCTCACATGCAAAATCCACAGCAGGAGGTCAGGAAATTCTGCAGCTCATCCATCAACCATGGTTTTCCAAAGGAGTCCTGGCACACTTCCAGGAGAAGATTCCAGACCGTCATGCTCTACTGCTTATGTCCTTTCAGAAACTGTTTCACTCAGGAAACTGATTTTCAGAAGCGTGGAGCATTCCCAGCTCCCTGCCTGGCAGAGGGAGCTTCTTGGGAACATCAATTCTTTGGTCTGAAATCCGAGCAAGGATGGCAGGTAGCAACCTGGCTCCAGACAGGCTAGGATTGACCCTTGAGGATCAAAAACAGCAAGGAATGGCTCCGAGAGCTGGGTGGACTTGGCAGAGAGTTGTCAAGCTGTCCTCAGGCAGCTCCCTCCCATCTCATTGCTGGATGGTCCCGTCACCACCACTTCCCCTTTCTTTACCCTTGGGATAGCTACCATCTCATTTTCAGTAGTGACCATAACCTAGTCTTGTCCAGGATCTACGTGTTGTAGGAAGAATTTGAGGAAGGATATATTAAATCTAAGCCCTCCCTGTGGTCCCAAAAGTGAGGGCCATTTGCTTCAGCCAACAGGTAAAACGTGGAGAGAGGAACTTAAATGCAGAAGAGGAAAAGACAGTCAGTGCTTAAAAAAGAAGAGCAGGGAGGGTGAAAGGTACCAAAGGGAGCTTTTATCAACACAAATCCAAAGCTCCTCCTGTGGGACAGAAAAGTCAAATGATGCATATGATTTTGGGGATATACCTATCGTTGCTCAGGAGCTCTAGGAAAGCAGCCAAGGTTGCCAGAGCCTACGTGATTTGGGAGCACAAGTTCCATCACCTTTGGTGCCTCTATCAGGTTAAGGGTATGTGAGTCATGCGTGGGGTCAGGCACTGCACTGCCAGCCACCTCCAGAGCTGAATTTCCCCACCGCTGTTTCAAAGGAGAATGTGGCAGAAGCCTCCCACATTTCCCAGCCATGGCAGCTACCGACACAAAAGCCATAGCACAGCCAGGAAAGTGGCTCAAGCTTTCTGCAAGCTCAGGTGAGTTGAGAGGCTGAGATTCTCTCCTTCTGTTGTGTCCTCATCCCCTCACAACACTCCTGAAAATCCCCTAAACCAACCAGTGCCATAGCAGTGGGGAAAGCAATGGACAGGCCAGCCTGCATTTTCTTCCATCCCTTGGTGTTTGCGCTCCAGCTCACTTACTCACTACCAGTTAACCCCCAGCCTGGTATTTCACCCGGATTCTCTGCAGCCCTCGGTGTCTCCCAGCCATGGGGAAATGGTGAGAGCGCCAGTCCCAGGCTCCCAGAGAGTTAGCAGATAGAGAACGGCAAGCTGCCCGTGCCGCACAGAATTAAGCAGAAGCAGATGAAAACAAGCTGTGAGCACTGGGTGAGGGAGACATGGAGAAGCAGCCACAAGCTGGGACAATTCAGGACCTGGTCCAAAAGAAAAAACCCGGGATCTCAAAGTGGAGTTTTCAGAGATCCATGCCCTGCAAAGGCTACTGGGGAGCCTGCAATGATTTCCCCTCTGGGACAGGAGAGCTGCACATGAAGAGGAGGGAATGGGAAGAGGCTTCCTGGCCACACTTTCCCCTGCATCTCTGAGGCAGGCATCCTAAGTTGCTCTGAGATTAAAACTGCTGGAGACTCATGACTATCAGATACTCGCTAAATAGGGCTAGATCTCAACTCCACTGATGTCTCGTGCGTCAGAGGACATCTTCCCTGGGGATATGGTGGAGGCAGGGACCAGCACTGGGCCACCAGGAGACTTGCTCCTCACATGAGAAGGGCTTGGTGCCCATGCAGGGAGTGTCACGGCAGGGAGAGCTCAGCAGGGACCCCAAACATAGTGGGGGCCACCAGGCACAGTGAGAGGCAGGTGGGTAGGGAGCGCACCTTGTGCGCTGGATGCTTTGCAGCTGAAGGCAGCACTGCCCGTGGTTGGTGGCATCCCCATGGCTGGTGGCTGCAATGAAGCAGTGGCCAGCCTGACCTGAACGGAGTCCCATGGGCCTAGTCTTTGCAGTCCCTTGCTGCTACTCCTCCTCCCTTGGCCCAGGACGACTATCGTGCTGCAGAAGATGAAAAGCAAACTAATAAAAAAAATGAAAGAAAGCCCAAACTTACCAGCTTCCCTCATCCAAAAGAAGCACCATGCTGGACAGAACAGGACAGGTCAGCAAAGCTGCTGGGTTGCGGGTGAGGGTTAACAGCAGGGAAGGAAGGAGAAAGAGACCCAGAGCCCATGCTACACAGAGAGGAGAGCAAGCAAGCAAGCCAGGGGTATGTGATGGCAATGCAGGGGGTGGACAGGGACAGACGCTGATGAAGAGCTCTTCCAAAATGCAACCTCTCCCAGCCCAGTCCATCTAGTTATTTTTGGAGGGCCAGTAGTGGAG